AGGAGAATAGTGCGAAAGGAGCGAAAATAAAACAGGGACTAAAATTTCCCTGTGTACTGTATTCACACCAGATTAGAGGTATTACTATTCAGCATTGGCTGCCACTCACAGACCTGTTATAATTGTAATAGCAAAAAGTAGTAATAATAATCATGACTACTCGAAAGATTGTAAACTGTTTTGTTAAAACTACATATAAGGCAACACTTTGTTATAAAACTTTCTAAAATTCAAGATCATACATGCCAACTTTTGAAAATTCCCATAGGGGGTTTTGCGCGTGAAAACAATTTTCAAAGCTTTAAATTCGCGGCATTTTATTGTGAAAATATGTAATACTTTGTTTAAATTTTAAAATATTGATATCACTCATTAATAAATCACAAATAACACATACAAATTAGTTTTATTTTTCCAAATTTAATATCTTTGCTTAATAGTTGTCACTCTCATGTATTTATTTACTTTCTTTCTGGTATGTTCCCTTAAAAATCAAGTGTCACTTTATTCCCTAAGTTAGTAAATTTATACAGAAAATGCATGATTATAATTTTTCTCACACACAAAACAATTTAGAGAAATAATTAAATCAACAATGTTTTTTAACACAATCCCCACCCACCCATCCCAAACAGTGCCTATGATCCCAAAGAAAAATTAAAATTGTAAAAGACTACATTATGAACATAACTACATTATGAACATAATGAACTTTGGCAGTGCCATGTTGGTATTTACATGTACCAGTAGCAAAGAAATACAATGAACAATATGAGCATAATCTGGGGAGGGGGGGGGGGGTTAAGGGATTCAGTGTACTTATCACAAGACTATACTTTCATCTGAATTATTTTCAATTTTTTTTTTTTGACTGGCAAACTATACAATATTTTTATTATTAATTTACCAGATAAAATCAGCAGCTATCTTTGAAGTTTTCTACTTTCGTTTTCAAAAACAATCTTTTTGGATTCTTATTTTATTGTTCGAATATCATTTAATTGTCTTTATTTTTTGTTTTCAATAAAATGATCAGTAATTTAAGCCCTTAATCTATGTGCTTCACTTTGCGTACCCCTTCAAGCTGAAGAGATTAATCCCTTAACTGCTCCAGGATATAAGCTATCTGTGTCTCGACAGCAGTGCCTGCGATCAAGCAAAAAATGATTTCCTGTGGCTAATTAAGGGGGATGTACGGCCACCTTTAGTGCTGTGAGAACAAAATGTAAACATTTCTTCAAATGGCTAAAATACATTATATTTTGATCAAATTTTAAGTCCTTATGATAAAGATAGAATTAATATGCATAACTGAATGCATGTTATGTATATATAATCTATACTTTTGCAGAAAAATGCTTTTGATATGCTCTTTAGAACTGCGCAGCTACAGAATTCAGCAGAGCCTTAAAAAATCCAAAAAAATATGCAAAGTGTGCATTAATGTTCTCTCTACAACCATTTGTTGAGAAAATGTCTAAATTTTGCACTTTTAAATGATAATTTCAAGTTCAAAACAAGGTACCGTTGTCTTCAAAAAGACTGCAAAGAACCATGAAAGTAGTTCATGGATAGCAGCACGTGGTCTATTTTTAGCACAGAATTTTGTTTTCCAGACCTCTTCTTAATATGGAGGGACATAACAATCTTTAAATGTAGAAGAAAATTACAGATGCAAAATATTTCAAATAACATGAACACTTTTAAAAGAGGAAAGGTGTTATAGTGTGGCTTGAAGTAATTTATTTAGTATTATTATCGAACAGTTGTTAAATAGTGTACGTATTGATAAAAAAAATCTTAAACTCTTTGATTCCAGGTAAGGAAAAATGAGCACCATCAAAGTTAAAAATTAAGAGTTTGTAAGTTTGCAATAGATAACTTATATTATCTATCAAAATTTTAATTATCACCAATGAAACACAAAGAAATAAGACACATATAATCGATATGAATGACCTTGTTTTAATACCTACTAGGACCAGGTGTGATAAAAAAAATCGAACTATCTCTATATCTACAAAACCACAATTCAGATTAGAAACATAGCCAAACACATTAAGTTCTACGAATAGCATATGCTGAAGTTTTGTTCCTTGTTTGTGATGTCACAATCTGAAAATGACGTCATGCAGGTACTTGTGACGAAAAATTCTATTTGCCCATATTGTCAAAATTAAAATTTTACAAAGTAAAGAAAAAATCAACATAATTAAATATTTTATACCATCTTTAAAATGACGTTTGGTGGTCCTCCCAACTCAGGGAAAAAATTATTGGGTTCTCATTTATAGGTAAGAAAGAAATTCCTTAAAATTTAAACATAATTGTTGACGGAAGAAAAAGAAAAAATATCGTGTAATGGGATGTAAAAAAAAAATGAGTCGGGCCATTTCCAGGCAGTAGATCGGGAGAGAGGACAACCCAATATTTTTATAACAGGTGGTCTTATAAGGCTAGTACATATTCCATCACGTACTTAGTCATGTTAGTAATGCAATTTTTAAAAAATCTTTTGCACTATTTTGAAAAACAAACAGGATTTGGGGTTGGGGGGGGGGGCTCTCACTTTTTTTGCGATGATAGACATAGCATATGCAATGGACATTTCTTTGCAAACATTGTACTCGCTTCTAAATTTCAAAGAAACAACTCAATATATTTTATCAAGCTTCGTATGTTCAATGAGCGAGAGCTCTCAGGCGCGTAGCTGCCTATACGCAAGTACGCAAGTGCGTACACATCATTTTCAAAAAAAAAAAAAAAAAAAAAAGAAAGAAAGAAAGAAAAAAGAATTTCGGAGAAAAAGAGGCACTATCAGTCTTTCAAATTATTTTACGTCTTATTGTTTCTATTCAAATTTTGTTCGGAATATCGTTAAAATCCAGTCTTTTTTAAAGGAATTCAAAAATTCTTGACTTGAGTAAGAAAATATTGTTGAACCAAAATGTTCAACTGTTAATCCGCGTAATCCTGATTATCCAGACAAATACATGTATTTGATGAAGATAAGCGATCAAAGTGACATTGATCTAAAGAAAAGGTTACAAGGGTCTTGGACAACTATACAAGAATTTCTGTTGAAGTAATGAATAAATATCGATAAAAAAAAAAATTGGTAAAATTCTGAACAAAGCAAATAAAAATATAGATCATTTACGAATATCTTCTTTTACTGATGTTACCAATTTATTACTCTCACATTGTTTAAGGTATCAGAATATAAAGGTTATCAAAAGACCCACACCCTCGTTTATATTTTGAAATACTTTAACTCCAATGACAACTTATTAAATTACTTCTCTGTTTTATCTTGTCACACTTGGAAACTTTTTTCCAATACCAAAACATTCGTAAATTAATTTGATCAAATTATCCTTCTCTTCCTGAAGTATCCATGTTAGTATAACTTGGCTAAGTGTTTGCTTGAGAAAAGAGATGTAGCGTGATTTCTTTTAAAGGAAAATGACTGAAAAATTTCGTAAAATCCAGGAGCTTCCGGGGGCTTCGCCCCCTGGTCCCCCACCAGGGCTTCGCCCTGGACCCACTGGGGGCCTCAGGGCGGCCCCCAGACCCCGACCATTTTCTGCGTACACTTCATTTCAATGCTGGCTACGCGCCTGGCTCTCAACGTTGTCAACATAATGAGACATAATACGTTTTTATGTCCAAACATTACTCCATACAATGTGTTGGTCATTGCAAACAATCTAGCTATTTACGTGAGGTGCCTGAAGGAAATCATATAACTGCGTATTTTTTCTATCTAACTTCTAAACAAAATATACATGTGTACCAATTTTAGAATGTAAGACATGTAATTACAATTTGTTTTTCATGCACCGCATATTGTTTAACATTTTCAAATTAAATGCTAAGCATCCTCCTTGCAGTGCCTCATTTGAAAATAACTTCTATCGCCACAGAAAAAAGACCCGCCGTAAACACATATGTTTAGGACATTTTTATCTTTTTTTCTTGGGTTTTAAAGAAACCAACAAATTATCAAGACTTGTTCCATGAAAAATTAAATATAATCATGGTAATAGAAAGATATATCCACAGCAGATATATGCACATGCCAACCACGTGCTAGATGGAATAATTTTAACGAGGAAACTCGAACTGTTAACAGAGCAGTTTTTCCCGATTTGCTGGAGTGGGGTTAAAATCGCGTTTTGCATTAATCAGATGATGCGATGCAACAAATAAAAGTAGTAAGTAATATAACCTAATGATTATTACTAAGTAATTTCTTGTCTTGACGTTATTATGGTCGCATTTATTCTAAAATCAATGTTATTCGTACTCTATGTGACAGAGGAATGGCGGACGAAAAAAAACACATTGCCTCAGGAAGACACCCATATGAAAAATCAAATTTTCAAGAATTATGGATAATGACAAGAAAAAAGCAAGACAAATGGTTGTAGCCATATTATCAATGAATCAAACTAACGCCATTTTCAATGCATTTATCATCTCGTAAATGCTGTAGCTGCGCAGTTCTAACATGATTAATTTCCTCCTAATTAAAACAAAATAAACTTAATTGTTTACTAATTTTGGTCTATAACAGTAGGTAATTAGTGCATTAGCACTTTGAGTAACTTTGGGCTAGTTTAGTGGAGTATTAAGCGCATTCTTGGTATTTCTTATTTTACACCAGACTAGATCTAATATGGCTTGTACATCCCCCTTAACTCCTCTTGCACACTAAATAAACAATGGGACTTTTCTGTGTGCATAAACAAGTTTGATATTCTATTCATGATTAACAAAAAATCGACAGTAGGGAAACAGAAAATCTTATTTTTTTTCAAATCAGGAAATTATTCAAATTAGGGCATTTTTTTCTCGCGATCGGGACAACGGGATGAAAGGGTAAAATCGGGAGAATCCCACCTAAATCAGGAACATTGGCATGTATGCAAGATATGTATATTTTAGATTTTGGTGATATACATTTAACACATTTAACTGTATAACTTCTGTTACAGGTATCTGTTAAAGCCAAAATCATGGACCAAAAAGAGACAACTCTTCAAACCATCAAATCTGGAGAAGTCATTCAAAAACAGTATGTTACCATTTCAGATGCCTCCGATACCATACAGCTATGTGCCTGGGATAAACATATAAAACAAATTCAACTTGCGAAGAGTTACACCTTTTGCAATGTCTCAGTCAGAAATTTTGATAACATAAAATCACTCACCACATGTCCTGACACTGTAATTCAAGAAATATCAGATATTGGGGCGATCAACAATGCACAAGTTCAGTCGGTCAGTGTTATTGATACTATATTGGTGGATTCTGTTTCTTGTGTCTCACTGACCCTTTGCGGAGTGTGCAACAAAGACATCGGAACTTTTAATCCTAATGTACCTACAGTAAAATGCAAAGTATGCAACATGCGACAACGAACATCAAACCTGACAAGTTCCATGAAAGTGCAAGTTAATTGCAAGTTCCCTGATAATCCAGCGGCATTCAAATTTTCCATCTCAAATGGGATACTAAAAAATTTTGGTGACACTAGCCAATTAAACACACCGGATGACATTGAAGATTATTTCCTCTCAAAAAAACTAAAAGTGGAGATGACTCCATCAAAGAGTCAAATTTTGGCAATTATTAAGGCTTTGTAAATTTTGCAGTTACTTAAGACAGTTGATTGTTCCTGGCTAGAACATTATTGTCTGTAAATATCATCCGATTATTTTGACATTATAACAGTGAACAGTTGATACAGTTCTGTGTAGTGCTTCTACAAGTTAAATTGTTCATATAGAAGGCACAACCTAAAATTACAATATTTTATTAGGTTAAATAACCTTTTTTTTATATATATTATTATTGTTCAACCAGTTGAAGTACTTTTTTTTACCTCTTCAATTTTTTCATACCTTAAAGAGAAAAGGTTGTTCATACAGTAAAGTTAATTTTGTTTTAGCTTTACTGGTCAGAGATCAGAAAGGCTAGCTTATGCCATTGTAAGGTGTTTATTGTCCATCCGTCTGTATAGCTGTCTGTAAATTATTTTTTTAAAATGCTACTTGATTTATTGCATCTGTTTTTGATTTCACTAAATGGTGTTGCCATGATTACTAAAAATAGAATTTTTATAGAATGTAAGAATTCCCTTAGAATGTCACTCCTCCCACAGTTTTTTTTAAGTTCATTATAACTTGGCACACAAGTAGACTATACTAAAGAACATAATATAGAGCATCGGTTTTTGATTTCGATCAGGGGTCTTGCCAGAGTTACTAAAATAAGAAATTACTATGAAATTCCTCTAAAACGCTACTCATACAATTTTGGTTCAATTTCGATATTATTTTGCACACAAGTATTTACTTGAAAATAGTAAATAGTTCTATTTAATGCTGCCTGTTGCAAAGTTTGAATTTCAAATGCTACTCGTCCTTTATTTTATAGACAGACCAGTAGAGCAATAGTCTCATCAGAGACTTCTAGTTTATGTTAAGTTTTTTCATGATTTTAGTTTGTTTTTAGCTCTACTGGTCAGAGACCAGAAGAGCTTATGCGATAGTAAGGTGTCCGTCGTCCGTCCGTCTGTCTGTCTGTCCGTCTGTAAACAATTTTTCAAAATGCTACTCCTCCTACAGTTTTGATCTGATTTCAATATAACTTGGCACACAAGTAGTCTACACTAAGATACATAAAATAGTGCATCGGTTTTTGATTCTGATGAACGGTGTTGCCATGGTTACTAAAAATAGAAATTTCTTAGAAATTCCTTTAAAACGCTACTTCTCCTACAGTTTTGATCTGATTTCAATATAATTTGGCACACAAGTAGTCTACACTAAGATACATAAAATAGTGCATCGTTTTTTTATTTTGATGAGCGATGTTGCCATGGCTACTAAAAATAGAAATTTCTTTGAAATTCCTTTAAAACGCTACTTCTCCTACAGTTTTAATCTGATTTCAATATAACTTGGCACACAAGTAGTCTACACTAATATACATAAAATAGTGCATCGGTTTTTTATTCTGATGAACGGTGTTGCCATGGTTACTAAAAATAGAAATTTCTTAGAAATTCCTTTAAAACGCTACTTCTTTTACAGTTTTGATCTGATTTCAATATAACTTGGCACACAAGTAGTCTACACTAAGATACATAAAATAGTGCATTGGTTTTTGATTTTGATGAGCGGTGTTGCCATGATTACTAAAAATAGAATTTTCTGGGAAATTCCTTTAAAATGCTACTCTTCCAACAGTTTTGGTCTGATTTCAATATTAATTGACACACAAGTAGACTGCACTAAAATACATGGACTCCTGCATCAGTTTTTGATTTTCTTGAACAGTTTTGCCATAGATACTAAAAATAGAATATTCTGTGAAATTCTTTCAAAATGCTACTTCTCCTACATGTATTTAAGTTTCAGTTCAATTTCAGATACACTAGGTAAATAAGTAGCTTATACAAAGATACATAATTTAATTAATTAGAAATGTCATGTTATTTTCTGTTTCCTACTATATGATCATTGTTGTCATGGTAATAGAATATTCTGTTATATATACTTTCAAGATAACTTAAAAATAGTATAATCTGTCATCTACTTTTAAAATGCTAATCTCAAAGTTTTAATCTGATTGTATAATAAACTTTATACACAATGAAATAGACTTTTAAAATTTTGCTTTAAATAAAAAAATAAGTTAACATAACATAAGACGTTAACGACAAAAATTCACTCGGGTTCGATGTTCAGAAAAAGTTGACGTACAGTCGCCATATTGTTTTCTACAGACGGCGTGGTCAGAAGTTGAAAGTGTCATCTACATTCGTTTTACAATTAAGGGTTATTTAATCAGTCATAGATAATACGTTTTCTTGTGTTATTAAAAGGTATTTATTGTTTACTATATTTATTTTACGTTTCATTGCTTTGTTGCGTGGAATGCAATGCGTATTGAACAAGGACTGGTGTTGAATCATGTCAGAATCTAAACTTGCAGATATCAAATAAATATATATACCAACGACTTATAAAACACAAGCAAACACCTATGCTTGAACGATGACAGGTTGTTACGTATCAAATACGTGAATGGATCTTGTGCAACTTGTACATGTATTATTATTTTAGAATTGGTTTTTACAAGATTCACGAGGAAAACAAAAGGGACGCAACTCTAGGTCAGTCTTCTCTAGGACTATAACGAATTTAGAACGATAATGCATTAAAGACATAAAAAAATAAACTGGTTTTCCCGTTCATAACAATATTAATAAGAGAAATCTTCGGTCAAAAAACCATGTTGACAAAGCAAAAAGAGATATTTAAATGGCTAGGAACTTGAAAAATTTAAACAAACACTGAGCATGCTGAGGTGAGAAAATGTAATTACATTATTTTTTCATTTTCTAAATAGCGGTTTGACACTTCGTCTCAAGCCACGGTCCGGACTCCGCATATATAGCTCTCTCCTACCCGTCGCTGCTTGAACACAAAAACTGTCGTAATCTTGAATTTTTACGCCTCTCTATTGTGACGTCACATGCTGTCAGTGGCAAGTTTTTTTTTAGCTCTACTGGTCAGAGACCAGAAGAGCTTATGCGATAGTAATGCGTCCGGCGTCCGTCCGTCTGTCTGTCTGTCTGTCCGTCTGTCTGTAAACAATTTTTCAAAATGCTACTCCTCCTACAGTTTTGGTCTAATTTCAGTATAACGTGGCACACAAGTAGACAACACTAAGATACATAATTCTGTGTATCGGTTTTTGATTTCAATGAACGGTGTTGCCGTGGTTACTAAAAATAGAAATTTCTGTAAAATTCTTTCAAAATACTACTCCTCCTATAGTTTTGGACTGATTTCAATATAACTTGGCACACAAGTTGACTACACTAAGATACATAATTCTATTTATTGGATTTGGATTTCGATAAACGTTGTTGCCGTGGTTACTAAAAATAAAAATTTCCATGAAATTCTTTCAAAATGCTACTTCTCCTACAGTTTTGGACTGATTTCAATATAAGTTGGCACACAAGTAGACTACATTAAGATACATAATTCTGTTTATCAGTTTTTGATTTCGATGAAGTGTTGCCGTTGTTACTAAAAATAGAAATTTCTGTGAAATTCTTTCAAAATGCTACTCCTCCTACAGTTTTGGTCTGCATTTCAATATAACTTGGCATACAAGCAAGTAGACTACATAAAGATACACAATTCTGTGTATCGGTTTTTGATTTCGATGGATATTGTTGCCGTGGTTACTAAAAATAGAAATTTCTGTGAAATTCTTTCAAAATGCTACTCCTCCTATAGTTTTGGACTGATTTCAATATAACTTGGCACACAAGTTGACTACATTAAGATACATAATTCTGTTTATCAGTTTTTGATTTCGATGAAGTGTTGCCGTTGTTACTAAAAATAGAAATTTCTGTGAAATTCTTTCAAAATGCTACTCCTCCTACAGTTTTGGACTGATTTCAATATAAGTTGGCACACAAGTAGACTACATTAAGATACATAATTCTGTTTATCAGTTTTTGATTTCGATGAAGTGTTGCCGTTGTTACTAAAAATAGAAATTTCTGTGAAATTCTTTCAAAATGCTACTCCTCCTACAGTTTTGGCTGATTTCAATGTAACTTGGCACACAAGAAGACTTCACTAAGGTACACAATTCTGTATATCGGTTTTTGATTTCGATGAACAGTGTTGCCGTGGTTACTAAAAATAGAAATTTCTGTGAAATTCTTTTAAAATGCTACGTCTCCTACAGTTTTGGACTGATTTCAATGTAAGTTGGCACACAAGTAGACTACACTAAGATACACAATTCTGTGTATCGGTTTTAGACTTCGATGAACATCATTGCCTTGGTTACTAAAAATAGAAATTTCTGTTTAATACTTTCAAAATACCACTCAAATACAGTTTTAGTCTGATTATAATATAATGTGGCATGCAAGTAGACTACACTAAGACATAGAAAGACTTAATCAAGGATCATTATTCTATTTATTGCTGTTATAAAGTTTCAATTCCCAACTGCTTAAGTATTTTTCTCTTCCTTTGCTATAAGTACAAACCAGTAGAGCTTCAGTCTCGACAGAGACTTCTGGTTTCCATCACAATCGAAATCAACAACTGATGTCAACAATATACAAGATATATTTCTTATACTGCGATTGGATATTGAAAGGTCGCGATAAAGTTCATCATCCGACTATGCTTTACTCACAATGGTCAATATTTTAATGAGCTACGAAGAATTCTCTCCTCGTTCAACCACAGCCAGATGGGAGAGGAGCGTACATTTTGGCCGTGGTTTGCGACGATGAGGAGGACACTACTTTCGATCTTTTTTTTTTGGTTTGTTATCTTTTTATTATGCCTATCATCAGGATATTAGCACTGCCAAGTGACTTGTTTGACTTCCATCTTACTATTTTCTTACAAAACCACTACAATTGTGCAAATTGTGGATTATTATTTTTTGTTGGACAAAATATACTTTTTCATATGTAATATATTTATAAAGTGAGAAGTGAATAGAACACTCATCACTGCAAACTCGGAAAGCTACACCTGGGTGTAGAGAAAATTGGGACTATCACACATATATTCCTAAAGTTCAATGAAGCTAGTTTGAATTAAATTTTAAAGCATGCATAGCAGCAGAATTGAGTGACATGCCACACATCGGTGGTCAGATATAGGTATCAGAGCTTTTTTTTTAGAGAAAGACAAAGGAAAGTTATGTTAATCACTAAAATGTAGA